GAACTCATTTACAGGTTGCAAATTATTGTTTTATTTGTACTTCACAAACCTGTTAAAGCAAAATTGTAAGTATTACGTTATTAGTAAAAATTTTTGTATGTATTATTATTTTATTCATAATTATTCTCATTATTTGAGACTTATTTCGTCTTTTCTTCTGGTCAAACTAATTCATTTGACTAAAAATGATGCACATTATTTATTAATTATTGTTACTTTGCGGTTTGATATACCAGGTGATACATAACTTCAATTATTTCTTAATTATACATGATTTTGCGTTAATTTTCTTTAATTTCAACTTATAGATTTTATTGACCGTTACAATACATTATACGAAATTTGGAAGAAAAATATTTTTAAAGGCAAAAAAACGTGAATTTTCTAATATTACGAGCCTCACGCACATTGCGAACGCGCATCGCTTGCGTTTATATGACTTTATTTACCCCCACGTGCCGCGTGTTGCTGCGTATGTGGGACAGGCAGGACTCGCGTATCGTGGACAACACTAATTATTTGTAATTGCTGTGATGGGAGGTGTTTGTGTGAATGCGTCCTGTTTGTTTATTTATTTACGCCGTGACTAGCAGTAGTATTTTATAAACCTTAGAAGCAAATTTCACATACATGAACAAATAATAATATTGCCGTGACAACAAGAAGACGAAGCAACGACTTATCGTAGGGTGGCCACCAAAAAATTTCAATCCATACCTAGCTACGCCGACCGGTATAAATACCAACGGCCTGGACACAGCTCACCTACTCTATCAAAAGAAGATCGATGTACAAATAAAACGCGTACGACATGCGCACTACAAATGATTAGTGATATCCCCGATAAGCGAGTCAGGCAGGTAGGACGAGCGAAGCATATATCTATGAGCGCGCCTCAGTCTGTCATTTGACAGTGCTCAGTCCACTTTTCTCTTACTATAAGGATAATGATCGCACTGCGCAGCTTTCTGAGTGCCTTAGAAAACTTCGCCATTTTGAATACTTATTGTTGTCTACATCTTGGCGCAATGTTTTTAGTGGTTATGTTATAATATTTACCCAAAGTCAGTCCCCAAAGATATTATTTACAAACCTACACTTTACAAAACCATTAACAAATATTGAATATCTTGAAAACCTTACTTTATTTGGTAATTTTATGTTAAATCTTTTTATTTGTAAGTAACAGTAACTACTTTAATTATGTTCCTATTGTATTCTAAATGCTTTTTACTTTTCAGGTCTCCTAGGAATTTCGAGCACTTAGCTTGAACAGTGTTTACAAACTATTAATCAAATTGTTAAAAAATTATTTTGAGCCAAACTCTGTTATGTCTGTTCTCAGGATTTTGAGGACAATGCTTATTGCTCTTATGTAAAAAGGTATGTGATTAATTATGAAACAATTTGTTGTAGAAGGCAAATAGCAAGAGAATTGAAGAATTTATTTTAATAGATATAAACAGTTTTAAAATCAAACGAAATGATATAAATAAACATGTAAGTAATATTTACTTTTTGAAACATTTATATTCTAATAATTGTTTTTATTTATTACAGGTTTACTACCTCTGGCTCATTTACCAACCTAAAAGTAGAGGTAGCTCCCTCTGCAAAATAGTTTATCTGGAACAGTTAGAAAATGACCTGTAATATTTAATTTTTTTATTTGGTACAGTATAAACTATGTAACATTTTCGGAAATGGAAATTTCTGAGTAACAAAAGTACCACTGATCCAGATACATTTATTTTGTACGTTAGACATACACAGGAATAATAAAAGTAACAAAAACATATTTTAGAGCCACTATATGTCGACATCCTTTTTACAATCTTATGTCGACGGACTAAGAAAAGCATAGCTTGACCATCGATTGTTATAGAAGTAGAAATAAGGGAGATATGCAAGAGTTTTAAAAATGTATTCTGGCAATCTAATGTTAATAAAATTAACAAACTTGTGTAATCTCTGAAATCGAGAGTCTTGGTGAAGGTGGTGGTAGTAATACCCATAGGGGTATTTTCTTGAATATAAAATATTCAGCAATTTCTTCTGTGTAACAACTGAAAGAAGACTCAATTGCAGATGAACAATACATCTGTTTTACATATAACTAATTTAAAAAAAAAATAAGTGTTACACAAATTCAACGTCTGTCTCAGATAAATTATAAGATAAAAACACCAACCAACTATCTTTTGCAGCTTGCCTTCAAGAGTATATTCCTCTGGTAATATTGTTTAGTTATAGCTTCTTTAATCTCACATTTCTTTGTTTTTATTTTATAGTTTCGTACCATAGTTACAGCTGCAAAAATGCAAAATATAATATAAGATTGTTTAGTCTCAAAGATTTTTATCACATTACAAAAATAAAATGTTTGTTCATGGGCATGGGACTGGCGAAAAATATCATACTATTAAGGTAAAATCATATACACAGCTTTAGAAATAATTTAAAACCACTCACCTCTATTTTAAGATGCACTCGCAATTATAACTTTACTTCAAAGAAGTTTCTTGAAAATAATTAAACGTTTCTTCCACATTTGTTGCATTCATTCAAAATCTGAAAATAACAAGATGTAGGCTACCAGTTTAACCTTTTTGGAAAAATATGTTGCCTAACCTAGTAGGAATTGCATCAAAATGGTCGCGCCCTATGTTGGGCGTGTCAGACGTCTCTCTTGCACCAAATAGTTATCAAAGTATGTGGCTCAGTATTATGCTGAAGACAGCAGCACAAAAAAACTTGGATAGATTGTCTTTACATCTACAATGTCGTCATAAATGGCCGAAGGTAAAGGCTTAAGCAAGAAAGTATAGGGAAAACTAACTTTTCAAACCTATTTTTTATCCATGATACAAATTACGATACATCAGGAATCCTATACCTTCAAATCTATTCCTATTCTAGTAACAAAAAGCTTTACAACTATTTAATTAATTTATAGTTAAAAGATTTTGAGGTGTACAATTTGTTGTAAATATTGGCTTCAAAGTGATTTTTAAAGCGATATAATTTGGTTGTTTTTATAATATTTATCGTCTATAGGTGCTCGAAATTATGAAACTTAAAAAAAAATAAATACAAACATTGTTTTACCGATTTATAAATTCAAATTGAGGGGGTGTTGGAGTTTGGATATGCGAATTAAAGGGTCTGCTGTTGGAATCCCACCAATGGCCAGGATTTTTTAAATTTATTTTAAAATAATTATGATGCATAGGTGCGATTCCAAACTCCGACAATTTTTTGTTGGGTTTTAATTTATAGTGCTTTTCCTGAGGTGGCGTTGGAAAACAGTAGCCAAGCCTTGCAGTATGGGTGCAGGAGTATTAAAATACTAAAATTCCTCCTACACTATGAAGTATTAGTAATATTAGTACACTCTAGTACACCCTAACCTATATAGAGCACGATGCTATGTTGTCAAGGCCAAAGGCACCAATAAAAAAAATCAAATTGAATATTAATGCAATGCTATTATACTCCAACGAAGTAAAATTGTTAGTATCTCTTTTCTGAATTAAATATATCAGTGCACAACCATTTTCGTTCTATTATTCTAGAAAACTAAATTGGAATTGGTATTTTGTAAATAACATTTTTCATTGTGCATATTTGATCCAATAAAGCTCTCTAAATAGTCCTGATTTATTTGCCTCATCAATAGATACATATTGAAAATAATAATCTGTTTACAATTTTATTATTTTAATAAATATCATTTATTCGAGATTGATAAATACTTTCTTTTCTATTTTTGTGATAGTTGTTAGTTGGAGATTTTTTTCGAAAAATATATCAATTGGTAATACTTACTTACTAACAAACTGTCTGGTGAAATTTATTTACTAACAATGTAGTGAATGTCATAAGTTTTGTGTCCTCTTATGTTTTTGATCAATTGTGTTATCAAACATGGTTTTAAATTTTAAATTCCTTATATGCTCTGTTGTACTGTTTAATATAATAAGTTTGTTATGAGTTTCAACCCATTTATTTAAATAAATTCAGACGTTTAACAAAACCAAAGACTTGCACAGAAACGTCCAACTAGTTATTATTTTTGACTTCAATACATATAAAACATGTGATGAACTGTCCATAACCATTCAAGATGCAAATATCAATTAAAGTGACTGTTAAAAGTATGAAATTGAAAAAGTATTGCACGTCACAAAAGCTCAAACAATGCAAAAGGAATTGAAAGACCTAATTAAATTGGCCCAGATTCAGTTTGTGTATTATCCATTAATTTACAAGGAACTCTTCCTACTACAAATCTTACCTGTGTACCTTCAAAAACTGTCGTGGGAGGAGGAAGTAACGAGGCTTGTTTTCTAAAGTAGGTACCTGAAAATAAAAAAAATACTTGTAGAATTTAGTGTAGAATTTAGTGATAAAATAAAAATTAGTCAATTTTGTCTCTTTAAAATTACCTCATATAAGTCACAGCATCCGTCGAATAGAGACTTTGCAAAAATTAAAAACTATCATTGCCGAAAAAGATAATCTCAAAAACAACGGCTTCAAAAAATTAAGCACTCCATTTTATACTATCAAAAAATGGGTTACGAAACAGTAGAAATGGGCAACATCTGTTAATATTAAAACAAAAACTTATAAAATTGTGATCACAGCTTTATGTAGTCCAACAAAACACGCTACAAGGAAGCATCAATACGTTGACTTTATAGATAGTTTAGGATATAGAGTTATAGTGGAAGGGGACTTTAATGCAAAACAGACTTACTGGATTTTTATATACTTTAAGATCTAGTCTGACAACAATCAAAGGAAAACAAAAGCATCATGTCATCAACAAAAATGTCACACAATAGGTCTTTTCCTTTGCATCGAAAGTGTAGCACTGAGCTACGCCACTTCTAAAAATATCGTTCCATTTATACAAATTGTATGGATGGAACGATATTGTTTCGTGCAGAGATATATGTCCCTAATCTCTGGTTCCGTGGTAATATTGTGCTAAGAAAAAACGTCAGTATTACTTTGGGACTGTCAAAACTGTATAAAACTTTCTCTAAAACTGACTTGAATAAATTAACTAATCACTAATTGAATAATTTGCGAAACAACAAACTAATACATTGTTATGGGGAATTTGCATTGTTCGTAAGTATACTTTTAATTATGTTGCAAGATTAAATACTATTTAAAAATGTTCGTTACTAAAATACACCTGAGAGAGGTTGGTTAATCCCTTTAATGGAAACGTTCTCTAAAATTTATTATTAAAAATTTTAATGACCAAAAACATCAGTTTATTGAAATATATTTAAATATGATTGCATCCAATTTTTCAGACCAAGAAAAGAGGAGGAATATCTTTATCTTTATCAAATTGCTACAGCAATAGGAATAATAATTATGATTTTATTATTTATATGGCTAATGTTATTTAGAGGTGGTTTCGGATTAGTCAATCCAGATCTGATATTCAACTGGCATCCACTTTTAATGGTAATAGGAATGGTGTTTATATTTTCCCATGGTAATTTTTACAATTTATGTGAATATGAAAAAAAATTAATAATTATTAGGTAGACAGGCTTTTCTTACAAACACTTTTAACGGCTTACACAGAATAAAAGTAGTTGTCCAATCATATTAGAAGTTTCACCTCGGAATTATAGATAATAAGCGGAAAACTCGTGTACGTCTTCACTTTGACGTTCTAAAAGTTGTCTCAAAACACGATACACATACCTAAAGGTATGCTGACTTTCGATTAAAATTTCGTCCAAACCGCGCAATGACGTAATGCGGGACGAACTTTCAAGTCATTTTCACACTTTTCGATTGAATAGTGTAAAATAATTTAATAATTTATTTGGTTTTGTGTAAATAGTGACTATATTTTCCTATATATAATAAGGAAGTACATAATTAATGTTTAAAATGACGGGCAGCGCGGTGGGGATTTGCAAAAACCATAATAAGAAATCCAAAAATAGTGTAATGTAAGATATTTTCAAATGCCACAAAATAGGGGCAAATTCTTATCGAAGAAAGGACAAACTTAATTTTAACAATGGTTAGTAAAATGCACAAGTATAATAGGTTTAGAGACAGTGAAAAGTTGCTAAAATAAAAAATATAAATATTTTTTATTTTAGCTTGAAGTTACCCTATTCACTTTGAGGAAAGTAATAAACATAGACGCAAGAAAAGGAAACTGAATTCCACCAGGTGCATGGGGCCTCATTAAGCAAAAAAATAGGTGTTTTAAAATTTAAGCAGATAAATCAGTAGTTTCCTGTCCAAATATAACGGTCCCTTTTGAAGTAATACTATGCATGAGCAGGACACTAACATTATATAAGAATAAAATAAGATAAAAATTGGTTTTGAAAATTTTCAAAGTAAACTTGACAAAAAAATATTTAAATTCACTAAATAAAAAATAATTTTTGTATTCTTACTTTTTATAAATAAATAATTTGTTTCTGCATACTATTTTTATTTCACATAGTAAGAAAAAGGATTTCAAGAGAACTACCACGCCCAAAAAGTACAAATTTGTGTCAAACTTGTCTTGTTAGTCTATATTTTTTTATTTATTTTATGGCCAGGTTATGGATTTTGTCATGAAATACCTATAATTTATGAGAAAACTTAATATTTTTATTAGTATTATTTACCGTAAACCTTCACATTTGCAAACAAATATATTACAAAATAACCAATAAAACTTAAGTAACTGCATAAAATCTAAAACCGGCGAAATGTCGAATTTAAAACACTATTATTTCCCATTTAATGCTAATAATTCTATGTCCTACGTGTCGTCATCGTCAGTCAGCTGCATGCGCAGGAACATACCGTTAGTCTGTGTATCGTGGTCTCAAAGGTCTCATAAAATCTAGTATCTGCATCGTAAGTTATTAAAGGTCAAAGGTCAAAACCTTTTTTTCTACAATGACTATCCAAAGTAGGCTTTTGCACTTCGTAATTCAACCGCAAAGTTGACGTTTTCCGCGAACTGAGATTAAGCGACAGCTTTATCAATCGTCAAGCGGAAAAACTTGATAGCTTTATCGCTTGCCTAATTTAAATTAGATATAACATAATAATATTTCTTTTTAATAAATGATTTTGAAGTTATTTATAAATATTTTGATGTTTTTTCTTTTAATTTCCAAGTTAACATTGACTTTGAATATCAACACTTTTTTCATGAATAACGTAGATATAGGCAACACATTATACACTACTTATGACAAATTTTCAGTTTTTATATACAGGGTGATTCACATAAGAACCGACATAGAGCAGGGGCATATAGGGGGTCCCAAAATATGGCAATTTAACGCAACTTACCTCTATACCAAGTTGCTTCCCTAAGGAGTTATAGGCTTTGAAAGTGAAGTTATAAATTTTGAAAAAAAACAATATCTCCGTTATTCTTGAACTTAAAGCAACCAAATTTGGTACACTTTGTGGATGTATTTAGGGCGTTACTTGACAGTAACTAGAGTTTAATTGAAATTTGTAAAGGAAGTATACTGGGTGGCGCACCATTAATATTCGACAGAATTTTGTTAACCCTTGATGGATTTTAAAAATCTTTGCTTTGTTTTGTGGGCAATTCAATTCTTAAACTTTTCTTACTCTAGTAATTTTTCGAAAAAACTCATCATTTTCATCAAAAACTCGAATAACTTAAAACGCGCGCTCTAGGTGTGTTATTTAAAATCAGCGAAAATTCAAAAGTTGGCTATGAAAATAAACGTCAAACAAGAAAGTAGGTCATTTAATGTGATCAGTAGGAATTGGCTGGCAAATTATTATTTAGATACGTAACAAAATAACTTAAAGTAAGTACAGATACTGAAATGTGAAAAACTGGGATTAACAACTAACCAAAATAAACACAAAAAACTTAAACAACAACCAGAACAAACAATTGTTTATCGATAAATTAAAGAAATTGTTCAAAATGATCGCCGTTTTCTCTTACGCATAAATTTATTCTTCTTCGAAAATTAAAATCCACCCTATCTAATAACGGTTGATTATTCCTAATAGATGTGCATTTATGAATAATGCGATTCCATAATTCTTCTTGAGACGCAACGGGCGAAGAATACACAAATTCTTTCAACGTTCCCCACAGAAAGAAGTCACATTTGTTCAGGTCAGGTGATCTTGGGGGCCAACGTTGTGGGCAATTATTTCCTCTTCCTATCCATCTATTGGGATACTGGTGGTTTAAAAAATTTCTTACGTTCATACTAAAATGAGGCGGTGCTCCATCGTGCATAAACCAATGTTGCAACCTTAGTTGTAAAGGTACCTCGTCAAGTAGATACGGAAGGGTGTTTTGTAGAAATTCTAAATAATTTTCACCATTCAGCCGATTCGGTAAAACAACAGGACCAATTAAATATCGATCAATAATTCCCATCCAAACATTAATTTTGAATTCACGTTGGAAATGCCGAGGAGTTATTGCATGTGGGTTTACGTCAGAATACTCATGATAGTTATGGAGATTTGTGATACCTCTGCGAGTGAAAGTCGCCTCATCCGTAAAAAGAATTTTCTTTTGGAAGTTATTATCTTGGTGTAGAATAAACTGACAAAAATTGACACGTTGAACCAAATCTCCGGGTAAAAGTTCTTGACTTTTTGTACATGATAAGGGTGTAGTAGATTGCGACGGATAACTCGATGCACAGAACTCTGCGATATACCAATTTGTCGAGATAAATTCCTAGTACTAATATGTGGATCATCTTGAATAGCATTTAAAATAGCTACCTCAACTTGTGGCCTGAGTGCGACAGCACGTTCTCGAGTATTATTGAGAAACTTGCCCGTTTCTCTAGCTCGTCTTTCAACATTAGAAAATGTTTCTCTATGGGGAATGAAACGGTTAGGAAATCTTCTACGATATTCTTCTACACTTCTTCTACAGTTTCCTTCACAAAAACCTAGCACTAACAGCATGTCAACTTGCTCGTTAAAAGAAAACTTCCCGTTCATTTTAAAAACACTCAAACAACAATTACTTAATTGAACAACTTACTTGCTTCATTGTCAAGTTTGACGTTTATTTTCATAGCCAACTTTTGAATTTTCGATGATTTTAAATAACACACTTAGAGCGCGCGTTTTAAGTTATTCGAGTTTTTGATGAAAATGATGAGTTTTTTCGAAAAATTACTAGAGTAAGAAAAGTTTAAGAATTGAGTTGCCCACAAAAAAAAGCAAAGATTTTTAAAATCCATCAAGGGTTAACAAAATTCTGTTGAATATTAATGGTGCGCCACCCAGTATACCCCCTTTACAAATTTCAATTAAACTCTAGTTACTGTCAAGTAACGCCCTAAATACATCCACAAAGTGTACCAAATTTGGTTGCTTTAAGTTCAAGAATAACGGAGATATTGATTTTTTTCAAAATTTATAACTTCACTTTCAAAGCCTATAACTCCTTAGGGAAGCAACTTGGTATAGAGGTAAGTTGCGTTAAATTGCCATATTTTGGGACCCCCTATATGCCCCTGCTCTATGTCGGTTCTTATGTGAATCACCCTGTATATTTCTAAAAATAATGTGATCGTAGAAAAAATCTTGTGTGTATTTTGAGCAAAAAGTTCGTTGCCGCTTTCGACAAATTGTCGCACTCTGCTACGCGTCGCACAACGACTTTTTGTCTCAAGCGGCAAAGTATCACTTTTCGCTCTTAATACACAAATACCTATTTTCGCGATTTTGTAGGTTTCTGTAACTAAAATGATGTTAACATCAATTATAAAATCTGTAAGCATAACATTTTCGAGACATTTTGTTCTATTCATTTTTCCAGACGCTCAACCGTTTTTGAGGTAAAGAGCGGAGAACTGTATGATCCACTCAATTATCATAAATCATCAAATACATGATTATGCCTACATTTCACTTGACATTTATTTTCTTATTGTATCGAGAAATAATATTTGAAGCAAACTGTGTAGGTAATCTTCCAAGTGCAAAACTTTTCTTGAATACAGATATTAATTTTTTTTCTGTATATAAATCTATAAAAATAATCGATAAAAATAAAATATATATTGTTTAAATTGTATTCAACAAAATCCGTTGTGACAATTATGAAAATTTCAATTCTAAGAATAGTTTTTTAATTATAGCTACGGCTTCTTCTGTTTGCAAATTATTAAAGACAAAAACACCCAATGTTTAATTTTCAGCAATTCTCTTGTATAGAACTGGAAGACATTGCTGTAAGTCATCAATGAAATTGACACATGGAATATTTCATTCACTGACAATACTGTTAATATCTCTGGGATTAGCAGCTGCTTTTAGTAACCACATTATGAAGAAAATTCCTAATATGTACACTTTGCACTCATGGATTGGCATGATGGCCATAATTATTTTCATTACAAATGTAAGTAAGAATAATATAAAAAAAGAATATCTTTAGACATTTCTTTGAAATACACACATTGAAAAGATAGAACGTCCTTCAGAAATAAATAACAGATATCAAATAGCTATTAAAAGAGTCAAAGGTGATATTTTACTTTTTTGGGGAGCGCGGGCAATCTGCCTATAACGGAAATTAATGTTTCGCTTGATCTGCATACAATATTTCTTCTACAATTTCATTTTTTTAAGAAATAGGTATATTACCAACAAATTGAGTATAAATTCATTTACTGTTAATGTTATATTTTAAGAACAGAAATTAAAATTGTTACTAAAAAAATTTACGCATGGAAAAAATCGTTTGTCTTCAAAACCATTAAAATATTGTAAATTGCTTGATCATATTTAAGCATTAAAATATTTCAGGAAAATATCGCGCGTTAAAAACCGCCTGTTTTAAAAATGATCAAAAAAGTTGTTTTTAAAATAAGCTTAAATTTGATAAACTCTGTTAAGCAAGCGTTACATTCAAAACGGCCGCTTCAAAAATAATAATAGTCATCAAATTACTAAGAGAACGAGATATTTCCCAAATTAGTAAATTTTACAAAATTTGCTTTTTTTCTTACATAAAATCAATTTAAAACAATAATTTGGGAACTAAAAAAAAACCTTTGTTGCAGCTATGATACCTATTTGGTCGTTATAACCATTTTTTTAATAATGCATTTTTGGGAAAAACTATGGAGAATATTGGAAAAGCCGTAGTATTTTATTTTCCACTTTAGTAAATTCGTTGTAACTAATGGAGAGCTTACTGATTTGTTTATTGAAAGATGAAACATTGATTTTAATAAATATAAAAATATTTATTATTGTTGTTTTACAAAACTTTTCAACCTTTTCTTTTTGGTTACTTATATTACACTATTTACTAAGATGTGCATTAGCTTCGACAATTTATGTGTTGGTTTTTTCTTTGACTTGGTTTTGTATAACAAACAAAATTTCGACACAAGCTGATTGGTCTGTTCCTAATGACGTAAATATTTCAAGATTTTAAATTATAAATGGTTTTACTTTAAAAACTTTTGGCTGATTTTACAAACTGATTATTTAGAATAACTTGAATAATGACTATTACAATATAATTTATAAAACAGCATATCTCACATGTGAAAATAGCCCATTGTTAATATCACTACTAAGTCTGCTAGAAATAACTTCTAAACTTACGAAGAAATTATATGTTTAATTTTGATCCAAACCTGTTGTGTAGGCAGATATAAAATTTTAAAAAATCTCATTTATTTATCTACAATATAATGTTAAATATTCGTTTTTCTTCCAATAAGAAAGACGGTATATAATTGTATTGCATTTCATTCTGTTTTATAATATTTACTAATAAGAAATTCAAAGTGATTATTTATTATGTAATGTTCACAATATCTTGTGTCTGTCCTATTATCAATATTTTTGTTGAGTTAAGTTTGTTTTAAATTTAATTTAAAAAAATAATATAATATACTATGTAGATTTGTTTAGGGACCACCCTGTTTATTATAATTATGTAAACTTATACAATAAGAGGATTGTGTTATCACCTTGCTAGTTAGTTTGCTTTTAATAGTAGAGATTTTTGTGATTCCACATTTTTAATTGAAATATAATTGGTAGGAATTAAAGACAAGCTTACTAATACAAATCAGTAATAACGCTACCTCGAAAAAAATTCAAATTACTTAACTATTGTTTTCCTTTCCCATTTAGTTTATTTTTGCACTTGGTTGTATGGGTTGTCCTGGAACTACGCAAAAAATAAGAGACATCGGTTGTCCAGTTCATATTCAAATTGGAATAGTATGTTTTCTAGTAGCAATTGTGGCTGCAGTTCTTGGGGTTGCAGAGAAGACAATTTTTGGTGTTAAAAATTACAAAGACATGCCAGGAGAAGGAGTTATTTGCAATTTAATAGGTAACGAACATAATCATATTATAGATGCGGAAATTAAAGCACGGATCATATAAATCAAATATAATAGGGGAAGTAGGATGGAAGTCATGCCGCAAAATAGGTAATGCGCTGCTTAGCAGTCTTTGTTTCGTGTTCTATTACCTATTATACCTTGTGCAATTCTTTGTAAAATAGAGGATCCGCGTTTTGATTTCCGTATCTGTTTACAGATAGTGGCTAATCACATAGGATTTGCACGTAAACTTATTTGACTTCAACGAAAGAATAAAACTTGAAAACAATGCCACAATTTCTTTATTGAAACCAATACAAAAAAGGTACGAAAAGTTTCAGCATACAAGACCATGTATAGGCCAGTCATATACTTACGATGAAAAAATAACATTTAAAAGACATCAATGTTATAGAAATCGTGACAGTACAAGGGTTTTGATCAAAAAATTTACAGAAATATACTTAACTTACAATTATTATAAATGTAAAACATTTGGAAAACGAGAAGGGACCCTTTTACATACGGTAGCTATAAAATGAGTAAGGGAAAAGAAAGTAATTTGACAATTTCACTGATTTTAATAAAATAAACACAATCCTAATAGTTCAAATGACGACTAAATTTGCTTCAACCTTTAATTAGCGAAATCGTAATTGAAAACAACAAACTACTTTAAACAATTATAATATTACACATTAAGCAGGGAAGTTTTCTATTGCAGCTTATGTAGATTTAGATTACAACCGAAGTAGATAATATTACCGAGTTGCCTATTTTTATATTGACATTATACTGTACAACAACAAGATTGCAAGAAAGATCAAAAACTGGACGGTTTTTAAAGAGGAATCGTTTAGCCTGCACAGATTTATTTCTTTCGAGGTAAAAATAGGCAAGGATAGGCAACCTAGTCAAGAATGGACGGGAAGGAAATTAAATTAAAAAAAGACAGTGTTCATTTTGACAATCTAGGATATAAAACGGCAATAAAAAACCCTAAAGGACATAAAAAACAGATGTATATTGGGGATTACGAGAAGCAAAAGTAATCAACCGTATTGGTAGATCGAAGACATCAAAGTAGCAAAAAAGCTATGCAATGACGCCATGCAATAACGCAATGAGAATCCTAGTGACAGCAAGCGGTAGAAATCGAAGAACAAGATAAAGTCTTTAAAAACATAAAAAAGGGAACACAAAAGACTATGAATCCAAAGAAAAACAATGCAATACCTTATGCGAAGAACTAGAAAACAATATCTGGGGAAATGGGTACCAAATTGCGATAAAGAGATCAAAAAATTACAATTTTTAATAAGAAAAGCCAGTAAAATTCAAATCAGCAGGTAATTACTAAAAAACAGAAGAAAAAAGATTGGAAGAGAACTCGTCACAGTTGAAGAGGGGTCACATAGAGGAATTAGTGAAAGAAGCGGATAGGATAAACGAACAAAAAGCCTCAGGAATAGACGGAGTACTTACAGAGACTAAGAGCGTTCATTAAACATAACCCTCAACATACTTAGAATTTTAAATGGATTACTGAGAGAGATGAGGTTTTCAATAGACTTCCAAAAGGTCAAGGTGGTCCTTATACCGAAAACCATCGCTGACACTATAGAAGACCAGAAATACAGATTAATCTGTCTTATAAGTGTAATGAGGAAGTTGTCTGAGTAGGTTGTTAAAAGCAGACTAGAAAAGCAACTAGCCTTAAAAGAAGGTATATCAGAGAGACAGTATGGATTCAGGAAACACAGACCTGCCCCATTAGCAGTGAAAGAGGTCATGAACAAAGTCAAAAGCACATGGTCAGCGCTAGTTTCGCTCGACGTAAATTGCGTTCAACACTGCATCATGGAAGCTGATCACAGTTCTCTAGAAATTTTGCAGTACCTAACTGCATCGATTCATAGCTATTTCACTGTCAGACTTATAGTAATTATTAAAAAGGAATTAGATATATTGCAAGGAGTGCCACAAGGATCTATACTGGTTCCCACATTATTAAATTTACTATTCAACCTTATCCTGAACAACACAATACCTATAGGTGGGTTTAACCATACCTACGCTGACGACCTGGGTTTGATAGTTAAAGCGAAGGACAAACAGAACCTCATAAAAAACAGAAATAAGGCCCTAGGAACGATTTTTTTCTAGAATGAATAAGAAAAACAAACTGAAACTGGTAGTTATTAAAACCTAAGCAGTGGTAATAAAGGAAAGGAAAGACAAATTGTGTGCGGTATTTAACGTAAAAGAATCAAGATTAGAATCCAAAGACTGTCTAAAATATATAGACATATAGATTGATAAAAATGGAACCTTTAGAAACTACATTACTAGGACTGTGGAGTAAATATCAACGTTGGCGTTCTAACTAGAATCCAGTAAAAACAGACCCGAAAGTAACAAAAGGAGGTTAACCACCAACGTTATATACTACTGAATGGTGCGAAAGTAAGGACAGAGGTGCTTTAAGGGCAAAAATATAGGGGCATGTAGGTAAGAGCACACAGAAAGGTGGTACTAAGTAATATAATGGAATACAGAACTATTGCCATGAAGGTGACCTATGTAATACCAGGAATTACTGGATTTGTTAGCGAAAGAGAGAAATCATGCAGTGAAACATGACATTAGTGAGAAAGGAAGAAGAGAAGCAAAATAGGGTACAGTGAGAAAATGGCAGGAAAGGTGGAAAAAAACACCACAAAAGGATAGTGAACAAAGACACTAATTCTCTGCATAGAGGAATGGGTCAACTCTTAATTCAGTTAGACGAACTACTTTAAGCGCTCACGGATACTATGGCTTGTTCACACATAAGATTAACAAAAACAGGACGAGCTACTGCATCAATATAAACACAACCGAACACTTTTTTTTGTCATGTTAGAGATGAAAATACGAAAGAGGGGAAATTAAAGAAGTCGCAGGTTAGAGGTTAATACCAGAAAAAATATAACTGAATAGATGACAGCAAAAATAGAAGATAATGTGCGAAAAAGAGAAAAACGAAAAAATGTCCAACAATCTAAAAGGAGAGACATGCATTTAAATAATAGAGGTTTCCAAGGGTATTAATTTGATTTCACCCTAGACCTCTATAGATGAAGAAACAAGAGAAAGCAGGAGTTTTGGTTGGAGTAGCGCCCGATACTACCAGACATATAGATCCTATGTCTGGTGTCAAGCGATTTACCCTCCACAAAAAAAATCTGATGTGTTCATAATAAGCATTGGCTATGGCTAACATGACAATGCTATGAAACCACCTAAAATTAAAGAAATAATTCCCAGAACCCGGTGGTGGAATATTTCGTATGTGCTTTCCATCTAACGCTCCGCAAATTATAACTCCCAAGATGGTTGAAAATTTAACTTTCAGGATGTTGTTCAAGACTCATAGCAAACATCAGCTACTAAAAAGGAAAAATATAATCAAAAAAACTCCGATTATGCAAAAAGCTTATGAAGTGAAAAAACCGAGCCGATTTAATAAAAAGTAACTTACTAGTTACAGTCCATAAAATTTTGACTGTACATTCCATAAAGTGTTAACTGTACATTCTTTAACTCGGTATAATTTTTTTTTTCATATTTACTGCCCAATCATTCAGTATCAAAGTTAGGTCTGTGGTAAGGTCTTGAATACTTCCATTTTCATCTAATAGATATTTTCTAATTTCATAAAATTGTACAGTCTCCATGTATATATTTTTTAGCATTAACTGTATTTATTGTTTTGTTTTCTTCGATTAAATTATCAATATTTTTATTATTAATTTTACTAAATCGACATATTTATTAATAAATAAATTTAAAATGTGAAAATTAGATTTTTCAGAAATGTCACATTATTTAACCTGGTTTACATATAGGGTACATCAGATTAACGTTAGTATTAAATACTTGATTGGTAATGAAATGAGAAAAATGGCAAAAAGAAATAAATGTCTTTCTGTAAACCATTTTAACCGACTTTAAAAAAGGAGGAGGTTCTCAATTCGTCGTAATATTTTTTAACCGACTTCAAAAAAGAAGGAGGTTCTCAATCCGTCGCAATATTTTTTTTTATGTATGTTCAGCGATAATTATTTAACACAGTGTCCGATTTTAAAGATTCTTTTTTTTTGGTAGAGAGGGGGTGATCTCATATAAATTTGGAATCTAACAATTGGGTCATGAGAAAATCCTCAAACTCTTCATTTTTTATGTATGTTAAGCGATACTGCTTTACCACCTTGTCCGATTTATATGGTTCTTTTTTTGTTAGTAAGGGGTACCTCAGGGGTGGTCCCATATAAATTTGGTTAAGATGTGGTGATGGCGTCTGCTCGTTTTTGAAGTCGTTTTTTTTATTTTTTATTTCTAATACTTGTTAATAAATAATTATTAAAATAGTTATTAGACGAAACGATTTATTTGGAATAAACTTGACTTAAGTAAGAACACCCCTAGTAAACTTATCCGTATAAGTCAGAGCAGATTGGATAAAATGAACGATTTTAATTGGTTTTCTATTAATGCCAGAAATTTTCTTTATAGTGGAAATTTCCAACTCTATTACATATAAGCAAGGCATTTTACTTCTTAAAAATATTGTATGGAAAGTCAAGTTTTGTTTGAAATACGTCCATGAATACTTTTTTTTCAGGTCTTTTAATGGTTATTTATGGTATTTTAATTCTATGTTTGGTTACGGATGCAAGTTACAAAAGACAAGATAAAAGATGTGCCACACCATGCCCTCCATCTAGACCACCTCTTCCGCCGACCCAATATTATTACGGTCCTCAAATGCCACAGATGTCAGAACAACAACAACAGATTAAATGGTGGAACAACTGATTTTCTCAAAAAAACATTTTTAGAAAAATCATAGAGGTATTCAATGACGTTTGTTTTTAGAAAAGTTTAACGTGATATTGACATCCTCTATCAGTTTATTAATTAATCTAGTACGAGGTTAATCCTATGTAAATAGTACTTGTAGAATACGTTTATTGTTGACGAATTTAAATTAATATTTTAGTGGTGAAGAACTTTACTAAAAATGGTATATATCTTATATTGGATTATCCAAAAACTATTGTTAATTAGGTTTTAATAAATTTTCATAAAATAATTAAATAGTTTTGATGAGGTCTTGTTATTACTTTCCATGACTAAATCCACGAGATCCGTTAATGTTATAATAATTGTTGTTTGGGTGAGAAAAATTACACTTTTTTTTCGGGCGCAGAGAATTTGTGATACGAACCTTTAGACCATCCTAGTAACATCCATGGTACCAGATTCTTTGGGTTTAGATTTAGCTATGAAGCCTTAGTTTCTGGGATACACCGTAGTACTAATATTGCTACTTTATTGAGTATGGTTACTTTAATGGTCATTTTGAAGTAACTTTTACTACACCTATACCATTTATTGGAACTGTAAACACCCAAAACTATATAGTACCAGTTATTGCCACTCACCAGTACTACTAATATGTCTAAATAAAGTAAGTTGGTATGGTATGGTATGGTTACTTTAATGGTCATTTTGAAGTAACTTTTACTACACCTATACCATTTATTGGAACTGTAAACACCCAAAACTATATAGTACCAGTTATTGCCACTCACCAGTACTACTAATATGTCTAAATAAAGTAACTTTATATCCATAGAGGTAAAAAGGTCCCAGAATAGTAAAAGTAGCATTTGGATAGTTACTGGAACTGGGAACTATTATTTTATTATTATTCTATAGTGGCAAAAACTATATAGTACTAGTGAATCAGTTAATTCTACCTAGCAGTGCCACTAATATGTCTAAATAAAGTAACTTGGTACAAAGATAGGCAAAAATGTGCGGGAATAGTTTTAGTGACCATCACTTGGAACTTTAAAGTATCGTGGAATTTTAGTGCTAACATAGGTATTGAAATACTTTCTGTTGATAGTTTACAGTTTTTGATTTAGGGCCACTAAAGAGTTTCAGAAACTATGATTTTGCAACTTTATAGTGATAAATATCTTATGGGCCATTATTTTTCGTTCTGTTTTAAACTGGTGATAATTGTCATTATAGTTTGTCTTGTTTGGTAATACAATTAATATTCACGAATATTAACTGTATATGGTTTCAAATATAAAAGAGAAAGTGAGGTTACGTTTCACTAGCTAATATTATTTCTTATCATAGGATAAGGGCGTCGTGTTTGGTGAAAAAAGGAAAATAAAATATGAATATTAAAAAAAAAAAACTAAAATTGTTAGAGGCACTTCAATGGACTGAAATGTTAGAATAAATTACATTTGTTCAAGGCAATTTTTTAGAGAACTAACTGCTTTGCTGAAACAAATATATTATAAGTTTGTATGTTTCTAAATAATATCAAGCACTTTTAAAAATTGTTTAAAAATCTTAACTTTTTAGAAACTTTGTATTACACAAACAAAGCAGGAAAAAGAGAGTAGCGGTGAATCTATGTCACCTCAAAAACAAAAAAAAACTAGAAGGTATTTGACGAACCAATAACGTTTGAATGTTTTCAGTATAATTATTTCTTCAGATAGTAAATAATTTAATTATGGGCCATGTATCTACTTCTTTAAGAGTATGAAACTTGCCAACAAATAAAAGAAGTTATAGTTTGAACAACCTCATTCACTTCAATATTAAGTTCAAGATCTGACTCTAAAACACTCACCAACAAAATTAAATTATTAAAAATCACAGAAGTAGTTTATTATTAAGGTCTGAAGAAATTTATTTCTATCCTCTTAATGTAAGAAATTTAAAATTTCAAATGACTCATAAACGTCATTTTTTCTATCAGTCTTAAAGTTCACATTATTATTTCTACTTACCTACCATTTTGAATAAATTTGGACAACTACATTTTTTTCTTTTGTGTGAAATAATTATTTTTCAGAATACTGCGAAAGAAGTTTTTGCAAGCAATTCGTTAATCCAAAATGAACATAGTGAATGGCCTGAATTTATTAGATTACTGAAACTCGCAATTAAAACACGTTGTTATGGCACCTTTCATCAACCTTTTTAATATAAGATATGTGCTACAAACTAATTATATCTTCACACAGTAGTCTGTGAAGGGTATTATAGGTTTACTTTGTCCATTCGTCCGATGTCACGTTCTTCTGTGAGCACGATCCCAATGAGCACACACTCGTTTTCTCAACGTAAATATGATGTATGCGGTATCAAAAAACGTTATTGGTTGAAAATTGAACGTTAAAATTCTAGTTGAAAAATCATACGTATAAAGAATACTATTTTCTACCGTATTTTTCTATCTATTTTTAACTGAATGATGAACATTTTATAAAATAATACGTTTTTATAATGTTGTTTTCTCGTTTATAATTAACGTATATTATTTATTTCGCTTTATTCTATATTTAAAACCATAGTTGATTTTTTGCAAATAATACGCAACTCATCAATATTATTTTAAGTTACATAATAATCGTAATTAAAACGTTGTATCAAATTATTTTAACGTTTGATATTTTTTTTAAACTAGAAATATACGTTATTTCAATAATAATTAATAAACAGTATTTTAATATTATTTTTAAACGTTATGTAACTAAAAGTTTTGTTAAATATATATCGTATAAAAAACATTCGTGTATTCGTATCTTTTAACGTAAACATAATAATTTAAATCAAATATCTACGTTATTTTAATATACTTGAATAATATTATTTTAAAACGTTGTTATGTAATTGTGGTTCTACCAGAGTTGAAAATTTTGTTTGATATACCAGTGGCATGCGGTGATATTTTTGGAAGGGGAAGCGATTGTATAAAAATACAGCAGGAAAGTAAGCACACGCGGCGCATTCATCATTTTGTCAAAATCTTGCTTTTTTCCTCAGTACTACGGATATTACCTAGTTTAGTACTAGAAGCTATAAAAAACTTACCATTGAAAAGCTTCCTTGGTTTATTTAAACGTAAAAAATCATTTAACTGAAGTTTTTTTTTTTATTTTTTTCAGCATTTTTCGTACAGTTGACACAGCAGTTAACATTTATTTATACTTAAGATCTATTCGCCTATCCTCAATGGCTGCAAATTTCTTTGATTTTGTGCTCTTTGATGATGAATCGACTTTTCATAAAAATGGAGGTTTAAATAGGCATAATTTTCAGTAGTAATACTATAAGTACTTTAAAATAATCAGGTTATACATCGATAACTTGTTGCATAATTATAAAGAGTGTCAGTTTGACAGTTTAAATAATCCGACCGCGAAGCGGGAGGATTATTCTGTCAAACTGACACGATTTGTAATTATGCAGGAAGTTTGAGATTTATAACCGTATTTATTTTGAAGTACGTATTGTATTTGATACAATTATTTTTTGAGTAAATTAAGTAAATATCAACAATTTATTAATTTAAATACATATTGGTACAATGAAAATTACAATTACAAAACGTAAGAAATTGTTTCCATACGTACTTTTTTGTTTTCACTGTATTATGAGGCTCATTATTTTGTATACTTTCGTCTATAGCATTTAATGATACATCTCCGAATCGACTCATTTTAAAATAATTATTGATAAACGTCAAAATTTGACGGTCCTGTTAGTTAGTGTATTGTTGTCGATGTGGTTACTACCGAAATGAAATTATTGTAAATATTTTTGATTGGTGGAGCTACTCTATGTATAATCAGGTATTATCGAAATTATACGAGGTAACTTAACTAAATTGGACGTTCTAATTGGTTAAAAGTTATACGAAAAAAATAATCACTATTATTCTACAACAAACCCACACATTATAGTCACTCATAGCCATATGAGGTGGTCATTAAATGTTTGGGGTGGCATTGTGGGTGATTATGTGATTGGATTTCCTTAAAAATCATTTGCCTACGTTACTCGAAGATGTTCCCCTGCACATTCGCCAACAGATGTGGTTTTTGCACGATGGTGCACCAGTCCATCACACTGGAGTAATTCATAATTATTTAAATAATCACTTTCCACTGATAGGGTGGCCAGCGCGATCACCGGATTTGACAAAAATTGATTTTTTTCTGTGGGGTTATGTAAAAAACAAAGTATTTAATGTGCCTGCAACGACAAAAGAGGACATGAAAACTTGAATCGGAAATGTATTTCAAAGTATTGATGTTCAAATGCTGAGAAATGTGAGTCAGTAATTCGAAATTCGATTACAAAACTGTATTGATGTTATGGGAGGTCACTTTGAATAACTTTTATAATTATGTTTTAATTGTTATGTTTGTTTTTGAGTTTTTTTTTGTATTCACACATATTATTTATGACTGTTGATAAACAGTTTTTTTTATGAAAAACTAGTTTAATTTATCGAAATAACCATAATTTTGATTTAATGTTAAAAATATCAATAATTATTAACTTTAGGTATAGGGAATGCTTAATAAAAGTGAAAGGTTTGGGACATATGATTTTACTGGTGATATAAAATATAAGGTGTCCCATTTAAATAAAACAAGAAAATCAAGGGTCTGAGTATTGAGTCTTCCTGTATACGAATAAACAGATAATAAAAATATAACTTAAAAAAAGTATAATACATCACATTATAAAATTTGTGTGGGTAAAAAAAAATGTTTTCTAGTGTGTAATTGGCTGCTGGACGTTGAATTATGTACAATTCTCTCACAAAAATGTCAATTCCTTGAAACGTACCCTATATAACATAGACAAACCATATATTAGAAGAATGGAAAAAAGATGAGTAAACAGAATCTAAAATAATATACTGGGGTTATCATTAAAAAAAACATATGTTTGGTTCGTACACGAGCTATGCAACACCCTGTATACCTTCCAGTAATTTTAAAATCTTAACCTCAAACCTGTCCATAATTTTCTTAATATCTCTTTCAACAAGGAAGATATCGAACTTTTCCACAAGATTGGTCCACCTTGTATATTGAAACGCCATTATATGTGAAATGCCTTTCAGATTTCTAACTTTAAATAATACAATATTAAATAACAATCAACCAAAATAACAAATTTATGCTACCCATTAAATTAAAACGAGATTTTACCCTGTACATTACAGGATAAG